CGTCACAGAGAATGTGGTAATACCGTAGCTGAGCATCTTTCTCAGAGTATGTAAAGTTGACTCTTCCAAGAATTTCACATTCATTTATAACAGGATATAGGCTAAGTAAAAGTTTGTAGAAATATATGATCTTGTAAAGGATGGTAAAAAAAATGCGGGCCATCATGTTGGCTGGTTATTTTGCATTATTGGCGTACAAGACAATGCTACTTACACCTGAGGATTTTAGACCCCAGATAAACATCTTAAGACTTGGTTTCAGGTGCCTCACAAGAGACCTTGATGTGACTACTGTGCAGTAAAAGGACTGGCCATTGTCACTTCTCATCTTATTTTGCCACTGCCCTTATCCTTACTTTCTACTTCATGCAACAGGACAGAGGTCAGTAAACTGTGGCCTGTGGGCCACACCAGACCTACTGCCTATTTTTGTAAATAAGGTTTGATTGGAACCCAGCTGCTCACATTCTTTGCATGTTGTCCATTGCTGCTTTTGCTCTTGTGACACCTCCATCACCAGAAACCGTTTATCCAACAAAACCTAAAATATTTGCAAAACAAGTTTACCAACCTCTAGAACAGGAAGTCACCTGTGTACTGTGATCCAGCTTTGCTTAGAAGATATTTAATGGGTTTTTGCTCCTTAGACTTTGAAGGCATATTAGAAATGTACAGTAATTGGTTTTAGTTAATTTAACATATAACAGGATAATGTTTAAAATGTGCTAATACATATATACAAATAAACATATAAACTAAAATCTTTAAGACTGAAAAAACTAGGGAATGAAAGAATCTTTTCTGATGAACAACATGTTCAAACTTTAAAAGTCGAAACATTTGTTTGGCTGTTGCTTCTTTTTTTCCTTTCACATGTGTGTTGTAATTGTTCTCAGTAGTTTTCTGTAAGTGCTTCCATGTGTGTATGATTCTTGTCTTTTCTTTCCAAGGAGTTAACAAATACAGGTAAGACCAAGGAGCCAGATGCAATTACTCATGCTAGAATACATTTGAGACCTCTAGTCAATACAAGATCATAGGCACCCACAGAAAATAACTTAAAGAGTGCCTAAAAAACAGGAACCCAAGAGCCAGGCATGGTGGCACATGCTTGTAATTCTGGCTCTTGGGAGGCTGACGCAGGAGGATCGCTGTGAGTTAAGTCCAGCCTAAGCTACAAAGTGAGTGCAAGACCAGTCTGAACTGCAAAGTGAGACCCTGTCTCAAAAAGGAAAAAAAAAAAAAAAAAAACCAAGAACCTAATCAAGGTGGATGAGAAGATAGAAGATACCATGCTAGGTACGCAACTTAGTGGTACAGTATTTGCCTAGCACACACAAGGCCTTGAGTTCAGCTTCAGCAACACATACATGCATGAAAGAAGGAAGGAAGGAAGGAAAAAAGGATCTTTTTATTTAGACCAGAATATCAGCCATGAAGCAAGGCAAAAAAGGAAATATGAGTTATAAGCCTTTTTATTCATGAGCAGAAACATTCTGCTTTATCAGGAAATATAAAACATACACTGAACTCAAGAGGCTTAATGCAAAAAACCTAGAAAATATTTCATGATATTTATATTAAATCTAGGTTTACTACCTAAAATACATTATTAAAATTAATTTCATCATTCTATTTTCTTTACTGTGGCTACTTGAATATATATATATATATATACATATATATATATATATATATGTATCTCAGAGAGTAAACTTTGCCAATCACTTAATGAATGTTTGGTATGCCTGCAGATGGTCGTGGTCTTAGGAAAATTTTTCAAAAATATTGATCACAAACTTAGTCTTTCATGCTCTTGAAAATAGGATGTCATTTGCATTTTTTCCTGAAATTATGCCTGGCTTCATGACAGATAGCTTGCATTGTGTTTAGGTTCCAAATATGTAATTTCTTTTCTTATTCATCTAACAAATTAGAAAATATAAATCACAGTTGTAGATAATTGGAAATGTTGGCAAATATCCAGTGTCTTTCTCAGATGGTGAGAGCCCAATCAAATGAACATATAAATTGTAACCCCGCTGATGACTGCTTTGGTCTCCTGGTGTATCCCATTGCATGCTGAAGGTCTGCATTTCATTCTGGAAGACACTTTTGAGTGCTTGTCTCGTGTATTGTTTGGTTAGATATATCCCTGAAAAATACTTCTCCAGGTTATCAAGAGCCCTCAGGTAATAATGATTTTTAAGCAGGCCTCTCTTCTGCAGCTTTGGAGCTAACTTCTTCCAAAATCAGAAGCTCTGCTGCATCAGAGCCCACTATCATTGGCCTCACTGCTTTTGTTCCACTCTTCTCCTTCCTGCCCATGATCTGGGACCCCTCTTTACGCAACGGAAGCCTGTGCAGTGTAGGGACCCTTCTGCCTTCCCGTACTTAGTTGGCAATTTCACAGCACCGGCAGATTCCACATCTCTACCTACTTTGTGCTGCCCTGTACCTGTAAGCTTGCCTGGAGAAGAACACTCGTGCTTTCTGGTTTTTCTTTTAAATCACCACCTTGAACTTTTAAGTAGAAACTTGGTGTTACCCAGTGTTACCCAACAGTCATATTACAGTGTTCATTCTCACAGGACTTTGGATAATCTCTTTCCTTAACCTTCCAACACTATCTTTCTCAACTTTGGCTGGAAACATTGAAGCAATAAGAAGCTTCCTCCAGCTCCCACTGCTGCCTGGAGGAGCTGGACATGCACTGCCCGTGCTCCCACCTCCTCAGGGTGACCTCCAGTAATTCCTGTCCTCGGCTTGACCCCTCTGTTGGTTATCCCCATGAACATGTGAGCCTGCTCTTACTTCTCCTGTTTGTTAAAGAAAACAAGCATTCCCAGTTTCACGTCCACGTCCTCTCTATAGCCACCACTCCATGTCTTTTCCCTCTACAGAGTACTCCTCAGACATCATTTGGTAATCATTCCTGTCAAGCCCAGTTTCTCCCTTCTGGGGCTCTCTTGAGTGCAGTCAGTCAAATGTTGACACAGCCATTCCACCATGCTGACCAAAGTCCCCCGTGAAATCTGCAGCATTCAGGCCTCATTTCTGCCCCATCAGCAGCCTCCAGCATCACACTTGTTCCTTGAAGCACTGGCATCACCTGTCTTCCAGGCTGTACCCCCTTCCAGCTTGCCTCTCACTGTGCTGCCAGTTTTCTCGGTGTCCTGGGATTCACACCTCAGACCTCTTCCTGTCTACACTCAAGACCACATTCACCATTAAAGTGCCATAGTTAAATAGCACCTATGTTCTCATGATGACTGGGTCTATTATTTCCAAGCAAAACTCTTTTGTAATCTCCACATTAATACATCCAAGGGAAAGCTTTCAGGACACCTCCATTGTATTGCATGCCCAGCGCTCTTCAGGCTTGAGGATCAGGAGTCATTCCTAACACCTTCCTCCATCCACCCTCCAAGCCCATGTCATCTCAGTTCATGACAGTTTATTCCTTCAGCTGTCCAAACCAGAGCTAACACTCTCTTACCATTGTCAGGCCCTACCTAGCTCACATCTGAATTGCTCCAGGAGCCTCTTGGCTGTCATCTCTGCCTGTGCAGTCTTTGTTGGAATCACTTCTCCTCCACGCTGACCTTCTTTCTCCTCTTTCTTCTCACCCTCTCCAGACACACCCACAATATGTCAGGTAGTGTTCACTGAGGATGTCTGCACAAGCCTGGTGTCTGTGCCTAAAATTCTGAGAACTCCATCCTAAGCTACCAAGCATGACACTCCCTCACCTCCATCCGAGCTCCCCTCCTCAGCAGCACCAGCACAGTCACCCTGCATGCTCCTCCCCCTCAGCCTGCCCTGTGTTCAATACCTTTTCCCACCAGGTGTGTGAGACACTCTACTCCTTTGTTATATTTATTATCTAGAATGTAACCTTCAGAAAGACAAATTTTGGTGTTTTCTGTTTATTGTTGAGTCTCCAGCATCTAGAAAAATGCTTCCATCTTGGAGACAGTATTAAAAAAAGTGTGTTGAAAGTGTAAACGAATGTTTCTCTTTCTCCTTGATTCCCTGTATACACATACACAGAGCTCTGTCTCGTGACAGCTTAAGTTTCTCTAGCATTATGTCATAAACAGACTCAGAAAATAGCTACTAAAACACTATACTCTTGATTACAGAGAGTCAATTATTTTAAAACTGAAAACTCTAGAATGTACCAGCTGGAACATTAATATTGAAATTGTACAACCTATTAGGTCTTTGATGGTTTTAGGAATACAATAAAAAGAAAAGAAGGAGCAAATGGAGTCATAGCCACTGTACAGCTAGCTGGGCTCAAGTCATGGAAGGTCGTCACTCTGCAGCCCAGGCCCTCTGCATCTGTGGAGGCTGGTACCTCTGAAATTTACCCCATGCAACTCATGAACCCCCTATATTTCCTGTGTACTGCTGAGACCAAGGATTTTAGCCCTGTAAAAGCCAACAAGTCACTGTATGAATGTGTTCTGTTTCATTGTACTGCCAGAGATCAAACCCAGGGCCTTGTGCATACTAGGCAAATGCTCTACGCAGAGCTGCATCCCCAGCCCTTATTCTATTTAAGACACTAACTTTAAAATTTAATTCCACCAAGCCACTGGGCATTGGTTTTAGAATGTAATACACGTGGATAGTTTTACAAATAAGTGACAGGTAACAACGTTAAAAGCAAAATGAACACAGTAAGTCTAGTGGCAAGCATCCATTCAGTGTGATTTTCAACCTAATAAACTCTGAGTATAAACAAAAAAAGAGAAAAAGCATCTTTGTTTCTATTCTTAAATGGACTTTTTAGAATATATAATTATATGTTATTATATGTATTTTTATATATTCTTGTTTCATAAAGCCTTCTGCCGACAGTATTTTTTTTTTTTTAATGATGAACGGGAATCTGACAAAAAGATTGGGGTAAAGATGAAAAATGCTGTCGCCACGGTGACAGCTGTCCCGCGTTAACATCTCACATCTCTTCGGTTCATTGTGTGTTTTAGGGCAATTCAAGCTGCTGGAACAAGACCGAGATATAAAGGAGCCTGTGCAATATTTCAACAGCGTGGAGGAGGTGGCTAAGGCATTTCCTGAGCGTGTGTACGTCATGGAGGAAATTACATTCAACGTAAAGGTAGCTCTTGGAGAACCAAATACTTATCCTCACTAAAATAATTTGTGTGTCCACAATGGGCTCATCTCTGTGCCCTCTAGGAAACTTATACCTTCCACTGGGTTAATGTCAGCCAAGACTGTGTATTACAAAGCTGACCTAACTCCCGACCACATGCTATATTCATTAGCATTATCTTCTGTTAGAATTTAAAACTGATGAGGTCAAAAAGGAAATTGCTAAGGCAGATAAAAGACTGATTTCTTTTTTAAATTCAGACTTTAACCCCTTATGTGTATCAGTTCTTTGACTAAATGTGCAGTCTGAGCACTGTACTGTTAGGAGAAGACCGATGATGAAATTAATACTAAACACTTAACTAAAAATGCCTGAGATCAGTACATACTCACCCACCTCATTTTGGAGACACAAGGAAAGCTAGTAGACAGACGGTACCTACAGAACAGTGGGGTAAGGTCTACTGTGCTTGATTTGTTTTCATTTGCATTCTCAAAGGGGCAATCCATCCCCTTCCGCAAGTTGTGCAAGCTCCTTTGATCAGACTAGCTTTTGAAGCAGTGACACCAAGGAAGCCCAGTCATTAGCACCCGCACCTCTGCTGTGTTTTCTTCAGCAGCATCCACAGTTACACTGCGACCTTTTAGTATGCGACCATGTTAAAAAGAGTCCCTGTTTTACCTCCACGCCGCAGGAAGTCCAACTAATTCTTATTCTTGGAACCTTTTAAAGTTTAGGGGGCAAGGTTGTAATTCTTAGAAATCTACTCTGTGTGAACAAGAGACTGTATCTTGACCCGAGAATGCATCAGTGTTGCTGTGGGTGAGTCACTCCGCCCACATCTCCAGGAAATGGGGGGATGCCTCCAGAAGCCTCCTTACTGGACAAATGGTTCTGCCCATTCCGTGCCTAAACAAAGTCATTCTTTCCTCCATTTTTAAAATACAGCTGCTGTGGTCTGATTTCTTTAGTTTTATGATCAGTGAGATTTTATGTTTTGTAAAATTTTTTGCTAGGTAAATTTTACTTACATATAAAAATATTTATGTAATTTTTAACTACTTCAGTGATCCAGTACAATATACAGTCAAAACAATTTGCATTCATTTACATTGAAGATTTATAAGAACATGATCTTCGTGTTGAAATTACCATGATCTGTTGAGTCACAGGAAGATAAAAGCTTTTGCCCTGTCCTGTCCTGTCCTGTCCCTGTCCTGTCCTGTCCTATCTTGTCTTGTCTCATCTTTGTGGTTCTGGAGGTCAAACCCAGAACTTCAAGCATACTAGGCTTCCTGCCCTGGGACATTAAATCTGATTCCTTTAGTATCTTAGTATGATTTAAATCTTTGCTTAAAATTTATACTTAGGGCTGTGTCTTAGTTACTTTTCTCTTTGCTGAAATAAAATACATGATGCCCAAAGTTAAGGAAGGAAAGTTTTATTTAGCTCACAATTAAGAGATTTTAGTTCGTAATTGGCTGGCTTCAAGGTAGGGTGTTGCATTGTCAGACGGACAACAGTTTGTGGCAGAAGACAGTAAAAATGAGCAAGAAAGAGCAAGACAAGCCTCTTTTTATCCCTTATATTGTATCCAGTCTACCAGTGTTAGGGTGGTACCAGTCCAGTCAGTAGACTGGATCCAGCAGTTACACACCCTTAATATCAGCACCCTAACTAGCAGCATTGTACTTCAGATCAATTACACGCTCTAGATTCAGCCTCCTCAGCAAAAAAAAAAACCAAAAACCTGTGGCCACATGAGGTTTTGGGGGGACATCAAGACACAAACCGTAACAAGCTAGGATATGGCTCAGTGATAGAGTGTTTACCTGTCATGTGCAAGGCCTTGGGTTGGTTGTAGGGGAGGGGTTTATATAGTAATTTCAACTGCTTGAGAGTGAGATGGGATGATCCAGTCTGAGGACAGCCTGGGCAATGTAACAAGACCCCCATCTCAAAAAAAAATCATATTTAGAATTATCTAAGTGAAAAAAATGCTCTAGATAGAAAAACTGATACTTTAAAACCCTCTTTTAAAACTAATAAATGATGGGAAATCAAGCATAATATTTTTATGATTTTAAAGATTTCCTCTAGTATTAAAATTTAACATTCTATTTTTATCACATTGTTCATGTACAATATTTTTAAAAGATGCTTCTAGCAGCTTTCTGTGAAAATTTTGTATTAAATCAGTAATAATTAGAAAGATAATATGGAAATTCATTTTTGATAGTTTTTTGTTTAAGAGTACCATATTTGAATGACTTCATTAGAATGTTTATAATAGAGATGTCACTTAAGACTTCAAAGGCATAGATAAGTGTATCACATGTGAGCTTACAGCATCCACAAAGCTAATTAGATCGCGGTTGAGTTCCATGCTGTGCAACCATAAATTTTTAATGTCTCTAGTCTATTACTTACAAAGTTTTAAGAGCCATCACATCTAGCTTGCATGAATCATTGAGACATTATTCAATTCTATTCAAAGAATGATTATTATGGGAACCTCAGAAAATGCATATAAAGAAATGTTACAGAAAGTGAATAAATGAACTCAGATGAGCTACAGTTGTCTGGATACTACTTGGGCTAAAAGTAAAAATGTTAGAAGTCATAGTTTTCTTTACTTAAAAATACCTGTGATTATAGTGTATATGAGAATTCAGGTGCGATGGGGATGGTATAAAGAAATGGTACATTTGGTCATTACTTCCCCGGAGGACGATAAAAAGGAAAATAGTTCTGTCTAGTCACAGGTGAAACTGTTAAACAGGAAGCAGCTTTTTCTATTTCAAATGTCTATGAAAACCTTCACCCTTTCCGCTCCACTTCTGAAACAGCATAAATCAAGAAAACACCATTGAAGAAGCCGCTGTCCATTAAGAATTTAAAGCCAACTGGCCTCCTAACAGTCTAGAGATTTATTTCAAAAGATTTGGAATAAATATTTATATGTGTAGTTATATATATATATATATATATATATATATATAAACTGAAATAAATATAAAAAGAATTTGAAGTAGAGTCAAGCATATTGAAAAAATGGGAAGTTTAATTGTGTGGTTTTCCACCAGTACAGCAAAATTTTAAATAGAGGAAAAGGCAATATTAGTGTTTTTTACACATTTTTAAATGAAGCATCAGTCTGCACTTACAGAAAATTTGTCTTTCAAAAATGCCTTGATGTGTTTAAAAGTGTCTGCCTGATTGCCCCATCCTGATTAACCCTGTGCCATGAGCTCCTCTACATTCAGTGTTTAGTTCCTTGGTGAGCCTGTACATTTTGAGTGTCTGCTCTGCCCAGCTCTTATTCTCCATCCTGAGAGTACACAATGAATAGCAAATCCCTACCTGAAGTGCCAACTACAAACTAGTAGGGAGACAGTCAGTAGATAAATCAACAAGCGTTAATAACACCTCAGAGTAGAGCTGTCAAGAAGAGAGTTGAACATTCAGATCTGGTACTTGGAGAAGCATCTGGAGGTCATCACCTATAGGAAAATATGTGGGTAGAGCCATGGGTCCAACAGGGCTGCATTTGGCAATCTCATCATGGTTTTAATTGTTATGATCATGAAGTAAAGGATGTTTCTGGCTTTCAGAGGCTAGGGATGCTCCAATGCTTTCCATAATATACAGGACAGGCCCTCACAGCAAAAGATTGTCTACCCCAAAATGTCAGTGGTGCCAAGCTTAGAAAGCCCTGACATTCTGAGAACTGAACCCTGGAATATCCCCAAACTTAAGGATCTAAGAAAGTATATAGAAACAGGTCCCAGTACAGTAGGACAGCCAAGAAGAGCATGTGATGGTCCAGAAGCCACGTTTCAAGGAGGGATAAGCAACTGTGTAGGTACTACTTAAGAGATCGATGAAATGAGAATTCAGCACTATCGTTACATTCAGCAAAATGGAAGCCATTGGTAGCCATCACAGGAAGCTTAAAGATTAGCTCAGAAGCCTAAACGTTAACAAGGGCAGTGCATAGTGTGGTCAACCCAGAGTTCTGTCACAATAAAATTCAAGTGAGATTTTTCAGCACTACCTTGTGTTTCTTCCAGCCCTTTGTGGCTGCCCAGATGCAGGTTGCTGCAGAAGCAGAGAGCTTGGGTTAATCGGCTTTGAGGTTCTCCTAGATGACTGTAACCCAGATAGCCAAGATATTCATGAAGTGTGCTCTGTAGCCATGGATAGTGCTGAGCCATAGAACCTTCACTGAGTGAGGAGGTGGGAGTGCAAGATTCATAGCCTCAAATAGGAATTGCAAATGGGAGGTAATACGGTCAAGAAAATAAAGGGTATGTGGGGCGGGTATACGCTTACAGATAATTTCTGCACATTTCCTTTCATCTCCAAATAGCTGAAGGATTCCATGTTTTTAGAGCAGCAGTCACCTGCTGTCTCAGTTACCTTTTGCTGAGACAAAATACTCGACATCCAGAGTTCAAAGGGAAAAGGTTTATTTGACGCACAGTTTGTAGAGGTTTCAGTCCACAATTGGCTAGCTCCAAGGCAGGGTAGCACAGTAGACAGGCGTGACAGAGAAATGGCAGGCAGAAGATAAGGAATCAAAAAGGGAGAAAGGGAGAATGTTGTATCCAGGCTACCAAGATAAGGGCGGTGCCAAACCAATCCATGGACTAATGTCCAAGCATTGCACTGTGAATCAGTCACACACTAGAGTCAACCGCCTCTGAAAAAGCCCCACCTAGGGCTGCAGGAAGCTTTTGGGGACATCTAGACACAACCCATAACACCTGCCTCTGTTTTCCCCCACCCTGTTTTTCTTTATTCATCTGGTTTTGGTTTCCATGGCAAGAATTTTGTTTTTGTTTGCTTTCTTAACATTTGTTTGAACTGTAATGGACTTTTTTTTTTCTCACTCACTCTCTCTCTCTTTCTCTTTACTTTTTATTTATTTAGATCCAGGGTCTCACCATGTAGTTAGGCTGGCCTTGGATTCACATGTAACCCTAGCTGACCTCAAACTC